TGAGGGGAGAAGAAGACTGATACCAGCTGTGAGCAACTGCAGAAAAGCTCTGTGAGTGTTTAATCATGTGTTACAGTGAAGAGTTTCCTATGAGTGGAAGTGATTACTGTTGTTGTTCTAATTGATACATCTTGAGTGCATATTTTATTTTAGTATGTCTTTTACAATAAGTTAATGTTATTGTATTATTATTATATTAACTTATTAATAAAAGTTAATATTATTGAAATACCAAATGTAGAATGAGGATAAGAATTTAATTCTAATTTTACTCTTTCAGTGTTGCTGGCTGTAATCTCACTCCTCAGGATTGTGAAATTGTGACATCAGTTCTTCAGTCCTCAAACTGTGTCCTGAGAGAGCTGGATCTGAGTAACAATGACCTGCAGGATTCAGGAGTGAAGCTGCTCTCTGATGGACTGAAGAATCCAAACTGTCAGCTGGAGATACTGAGGTATTAGGAAGTTAGCTGGTCACAATGTTTGTGTGTGCCTGTAGATGATCTGTCTGTGTGTCTGTAGATGATCTGACTGTTGATGTGTGTGTTCTGCTCTCTTTCAGCCTCTCTGGCTGTAATCTCACTGGTCAGCATTGTCAGAGTTTGTCATCTGTTCTACAATCCTTAAACTGTGCCCTGAGAGAGCTGGATCTGAGTAACAATGACCTGCTCTGAGTTCAAACCCCTCACACCTGAGAGAGCTGGATCTGAGCTACAATCACCCAGGACAATCAGGAGTCCAGCTGCTCAAACACAAACTGCAGGATCCAAACTATAAACTGCAGATACTCAAGTATGTGGAGCGCTGCTATTTTTTATATGTTTAGGAGCATTTTTACAGTAAAAGGGCAACATAAGTGGAATTATTCTGTTAAATCTAAATCCATGAGAGAAACATGTTTACATGGTTACATGTTTGTAAATATAGGAAATAGGGGCGGTTTCAAACCATGTTTTAGACTGTCTTTGTTACACTGTAGTTTTAGGTAGAAAGTGCTTAGCAATGGTGCTGACTGATGAATTTGCACAATGTTTCTCTTTAAAGTGTGCTTATTATGCCATTTTTAAGGTTGCTAATATTGTTTTGGGAGTCTCCTCCAATATGTTTACATGCATGCAAGGTAAAAAAATTATTTAGTTTTCTCAACATATTTAGTATCATCTCATTTTCCAACGATTCTCAAATAATTAATTCAAAGCAGTTCTAAGATTCAGTCTCTCTATACCCCTCCTTTCTGTGAGCCTACTTTGCTCTGATTGGTCAGATGGCCTAGTCTATTGTGATCAGTCTATCGCATACAATGAGTGTCGAAAACAATACGCCCGCCTAAGTGGGATTCGAATTACTGACTTGTTTAGGCTGTTCAGAGTTGACTCTTTTCGGAGACAATAACTTTATTTATCGTGCACTTTCAACTTTACAACTTTGCACATCGTTTACATTCACATACATTACACACTGCATGAAAGTCAATATTGAAAATGGCATAATAGGGGCGTTTAAGCATATTGAAATACCGGATAGGCATGTAAACAATGTTTAAAAAAAACAGATTTTCACCACAGGGGGTCTTTAATGTTTGCAAATGTATTACTCATCTCTACATGTAGTGATAAGAGTATTGGATTTGTAAACTGCAGACAAAGTTGTCTAAAACAGTTTCTGTTTTAACTCACAAAATGTATTTGTACCATATTCATTACTGCTGTTTTTGTCTAAAAAGTTTTGTCTAAATTTCCCAAAAAAGTGAAACATAAAGCATTTGTCCTGTAAAGCTGTTCACTATCTTATACAAGTTAATATTAATTGAATGAATGAATGAATGAATGAATTATGCATTTATATAACACTTTATTGTGTATTGTTGTATGCCCAAACAGTGGCGGAGCTATAGTTTTATAGATGGGGTGGCCAAGGCTAATTCAGGGGGTCCATAGACCATGATAGAAAATCAGTGTATTACCCCAACCTGGCATAAAAAAGCATGAATAAATCCTATGATTGCATACTTCACATTACCCCACATTAGTTAAACATACCGTAACTTCAGATGTTAGGCTGATGATACACAGGGCAAATTTTGGAGCAATTTTGACAGGCAACTTTTTTGAGCAATGTTGCTTAGGCACTTTCCCATTAAGAATAGGTAAATTTCTATCTGGATAATTTAGATCAGTCATGGGCCCTGTGTCTCACCTGGTTGCCCATTGATGGCAACATTGCTCAAAAAGTTGCCCTGTGTATCATCAGCCTTAACTTATTTCTCTTATTTAACCAGTGGTTGGAGCAAAAGATCTAACATTACCTTGTAGGCTACAGTAATTTTTTTGTTGTTCAGGAAACCTAAAACTTCAACTTACTTTAAACAGGGCTGACAACTTTTGAGTTCAGCCTGAAGTGAGAATTATTCAGGAATAATTAACAAGCTTGCGATTAAGTATGTTATTTTTTCTCAATTTTTCTAAACTTAAAGGGGACATAACACACACAGTTTCACCCAATCTCATGTTAATCTTGAGTACCTATAGAGTAGTACTGCATCCTTCATATCTCCAAAAAGTCTTTAGTTTGATCATATTTATAAAAGAAAGATACAGCTTTATGATTCTCTCCGGGAAAAAAAACGAGCTCCTGGAGGCGCGCCGTGGGCGGAGATAAAGAGTGACGAGCACTTGAGCACCGATTGCCAACAAAACAGACATTTGATGCCGTTTCACTTACGGTCTGCAGTTCTGAATCATGACCGGGACTTTTATAGCTGGGACCGCTCCATCTTTCAGTATCAAACAATGTGCAAATACAGCGTCGAACTGGGCCTTGTTTATAAAACGTTCGTCAACAAACACACTTGTGAAACTCCGTTGCTGCCCCGAAAAAACAAACTGCATCCACTGGGCTTCCACCTCAGCAGAGCCAGAAACTGATCACCTCCATGCCACGCCGAATTGGGGCAGTAATTAAAGCAAAAGGAGCCCCTACCATGTATTGAGTACATGTACAGTAAATGAACATACTTTCCAGAAGGCCAACAATTCACTAAAAATGTTTTTTTTTTTATTGGTCTTATGAAGTATTCTAATTTGTTGGTGGGTTTTTGTTAAATGTGAGCCAAAATCATCACAATTAAAAGAACCAAAGACTTAAACTACTTCAGTCTGTGTGCATTTAATTTATTTAATACACGAGTTTCACAATTTGAGTTGAATTACTGAAATAAGTGAACTTTTCCACGACATTCTAATTTATTGAGATGCACCTGTATACAGGGAACCCTATTGCTTAGGTTAAAAGTAACAACTTATTTGTATACAAGTATTATACCGTTTTTTAATAACGTTATATCTTTACATTATTAATTATAATAAAAATAACAATTATATGAGTAAATATATAATAAACATTTTTTTTGGGCAAAATTCTCCTCTCTAGTGTAAATTTTTCTCACTAATTTATGGACACTGAATGGATTTTCTGCAGTTATGTGACAATGTTTTATAGCTGCTGTCTCATCTTGAGACACTATACATTAAGTTGTAGTGTATCTTTTAACATGGATCAGATGTGCATTCGATGTTTATTTCATGATAATCATAGAATGCATTCCTACTTTGCTTGAACTGAGGCAATGCGAGAACGCATGTGAAACGTCACGCCAATAAAGAGCTCCAAAACTGTATTTATAGTTTGGAATTCTTAATAAAACTAACAGAATTTTAATGCTAAGACTTTGTTTCCTATTATCAGAAGTGACCTGCTCTGTTGTGTCTGTTAGCTCGCTGTCGGTGTCCTCTCTGCAAAGTTTTTTTACTCCGTAAGAAAATGAATGTGTTGCACGAGAGCGCGTACGTGAGAGGCTGGAAATGGACGAGAAAAAGCGCGGTGCGGAACACCAGACACGTCGCATCCTTGAGTTCAAGGCTAAAATAAACGCTTCTTTCAGTACGATTAAACAAAGAAAATGAAATAGTAGCATATTAATTATTGGGGTGGCCGATCAGATGTCAGGGGTGTCCGAGGAGAGAGAGTCATAGAGCCAATTCAGTGGATGGGGATTATTAGGGAGGCCATGATTGACAAGGGCCCGAGGAATTTGGCCAGGACACCGGGGTTACACCTCTACTCTTTACGAGAAGTGCCATGGGATTTTTAATGACCACAGAGAGTCAGG